AACCGTGTTCTTCACTCTCTAACTTTATTCTTAAAAAGCAAGGATATACATGAATAGTGACAACAAAGAAGAAAAGAAATACAAATGTTAATCGAGGTGAAAGAAAAGAAGTAACCGAAGTAAACGATAATATAGAAGATATCGAAGAGAAGAAAAGAAAAGAATAGAAGGGTCAAGGTATATGTTATAGTAATACACTGTAACACACATACATCAATATGTGATCTTATACACACAATCAGAATGAAAGGAGAAAAGAAAGAGTCAATGATAGAGAAAGATATGTTCAATGATACTTAATCTCTAAAGAAGAACAAAGAATGTGAAGACAATGGACGCATAAGATGAAATGACAAAGGAAATGATAACGAAAGGAAAAACGAAAGTTAATCAACTTGTATGAGCATTTGGCTAAACCAAGCAGTGAAAGTCGATAAAATCACACATTAAACTCAACCGGGAACGTCATGATTAAGTTGTCGGTTTGTGTCTTAAACATTGATTTCATATTGTTAGTGATATTCTGAAGTGATATAAACAACGTTGAATGCTTGAAAATGTCGTTGAAACACAAACTCGATGATACAATACTCATACAGGTAAAACAAATATCATTGAAATCAAAATTGGTACAAGGATCACCGCTGAAACTTGAAGATTGAAGAGGACCAAAACAGGAACCGGGACCATCATTGAAGCTGAAGCGGGTAGAAGAATGGGTTCTGAAATCTCAATATGCTTACAGAGCGAGATTTAGAGTCGTAGCTGTCCTTGAACTTATGCGGTGGTCGGGAGCCTGTTCGAAGCCAAATTCCGAACGGAGAAGATGATCGTGAGCAGGTTATAAAACAACATGCCTCGTCGTGCTCTCAATCACGTTTAAATTAGTTATGGACAGGATTAGTTTTATAAGGTACATACCAGTATCCTCTAAACATTGTTAATCATTCGATGCTTACAGATGATGGAAAAAAAAGAAAATGAATTCATTGCATAGTGCAAATTTTGTCTAATCATGTGATTGACTTTCTATTGTCAAGGATTATGCTTTTTCAAACACAGGAGAGAACAAGCGAAGCAATGAATATCTATTTACCGTATAAGTGCATTATATTATTAAATGGTCATGCACCATTAATTCATCTTCAAGGGTATGTGCAAGAATGCAAATTTTTTTTCACAAGGTTTATATAAACAATATGATGCTTAGGTCTTACTCATAAAACAACGTCGATATTTTATCATCACATTGCGGTTCTAATTACAGAAGGTGTGGAATCAATACGAGGAGCAAAGGTATATTTTTATATAAGTGGAAGCACTTCATAGGACTTCTGTGGTCATGAGTATTGATAGGATTTTTCTGTCCACAAGGAGAACCATTAATCACGAAGTGTAATTTTTGTACTAGTCGATTGTGTTTCTCTTCGAGCGAAGCCATTTCGTAATTCTGTACGAAATAAACAGCAAAGATTATTAGCTGCCGTAAAGTTACTCTCCTCACAAAGTGTTTCTAAACTGATTATCGGCTCAGGTTGTGCGTGAAAGTGTAGAACTACGATTGTTCAGTATTGCATACGTTTAGTATACGAAGTTTTCCATGCCACTGAAACGAAAATGCGACGCTGAATGGAAAATAAACCCTTCATAATTTCTGTCCAAGGGCTTCTCGTTAGATGCGTATATTATAGGTTACTGCTTAGAGTTTCATATTCAGAGTGAATAGTTGTAACATACAATATCTAGTTTTCGCATTTTTCTTGAGGTTGCAACTGGTGTTGGATATCTTTTAAGAACACGAGCTGAAAACGTCGAGGTGGTAGCTACTCAGAAGTGCAAATATTGGCCAATTAACTTTTCTCTAAGGGTCCTATATCCAATTTTTTTCGACGCTCACAAATTGCGAGTGAAGTTCGAACCTGAAGTATTGGCAAGGTTGAGATTCCCACTGAGAGAGAGACCAGTAGTGAGACTGGACGTCAGCACGGGAAGTTATAACAGGCTCGAACCAGATTTTGGACGGCGCAAAAATCGAGACTGTTAGTGAAGCCGAGACCCTCACTAATATTGGGATTGCCACGATGAATGAAACTTTGCAATGGACTGACAGCAGTATGAGGAGAAATACCAAAACCTGGATCCCAACTGATATCAGCATGCAGACTGCAACTGAAACCGTGAGTCGAACTGATAGCTGGATCGGAGTAAAGACTGAATCGACGTTCCAAATTAAGGGGGCATACGCTGTAAAAAATAAGCTTAGAATAATAAACCCTCATTTTCGTTTTTGCACACTTTCATTTACCCTTTTAGTTCATAAACCCTACGAAGGGTATTTTATACGTTGCATTTTCATAAACCATCTAGGATATATGAACAGTAAATAAGCCTTTTAGCGTTTATTAACTTTATAAATCATTCCCTAAAATCGTTATTAGTATACACTTTAGAGGAAACTGTAGAATAAAACCACTTTTAGGAAGGATCTATGAAGTTAATAAACGCTAAAAGGGTGTTTTACTGCTCATATACCCGAGAGGGCTTATGAAAATGCAACGTATAAAATACCATTCGTAGGGTTTATGAACAAAAAGGGTATATGAAAGTGTGCATAAATGGAAATGATGGTCTATTATTTAACGTTTATTTTTTACAGTGTGGATGCTGATCGTAAAACCTACATTTCAACTGTTACTCACGTGGGAGCTTTGACTGAAACTGTCGCCCAAATAGATTCCAAGAACGAGATAGCTAATGGAATCCTCAAACGAACAGACAGCGGCTTGAGAAATGACACTGAAACCGGAATCTCTACTGATATCAGTATGGAAAATGTTACGGAATCCGTGTCCGATACCAAAAGCAGTTCCTGGATCGAGACAAAAACTGAAATTGCAAGTCATACCACCTTGAGGACTCATACTGAGACCTTGAGTCGAAATGATAGCGAGATCCGGACAACGACTGGATCGGCGTCCAGAATTGAGACGGCATAGAGGCTGTTCCTGAAACCTAGACTCGAAATGCTATCAGCGCAGAGGCTTTGATTGGATTCGTTGCCTGAGCTGATACTGTGATTGGGACTGCAAATTAAATCCTAACAAGAACTGGCAGGGCATGATGAGCGAGAGTAAAGCCAAGCACTCATCTGAGACCAGCGTGGGGACTATGACTGAAACTGTGTCCCGAAACTAGAGAGATTTGGAAACCGAGCTTGAAACCTAGATTCCAACTAATATGAGTATGGAAAATATGACGCAAATGTATATCCGTATCTGAAAGATGCCTGAAACCATGTGCCAAACTGACAAAATAGAGTAAGAGACTCTTTAGTGTATTTAATACGACGTATTCATGATGCTTCTTCACTGTTGAGTGATCTGTATAAAACTATTATGCTAATACCTCGTGAATATCTCTTTTGGGTTTTCATCTTTTAAGACACTCACGTCTTTGGAAGAATGTCCATTCAATTGTCTTCAACGAAATATAAGAAAAGTGTATGTCGAATTAGAATTCTGAATAGTTGAACAAAAATAATATTCAGAAGTTTCAATATGTATAGTCAACTTTTTTGCAGAAGAACGTATTTCTCTGTGTTTTTTTGTTATAAAATATTACGAGGCAGCAGAGAAATATAGAAGCTATTTTGTAGAGATGGAAGGGTCTATCGTTCTACATCAATCTCATTCGTTTCGCATCACAAAATTTGTCATTGGATAAGAATCGCCTTTTCGAAACGACAGTTTAGGTATAGTCGAAAACTTTTTCATTCATTAGTCTGCAAAAATGCGTTTACGCTAATTTTTGCTTTTAATTTAACGAGACATCAATGACATATTGCAGAAAAAGTTGAGAATCGAGCTACAGTATTTTTAAGATAAAGAATGAAATGTAAAAATAAACAAACTGTGCGTAATTTTCGATGCACTTCAAGAAATTTCTTCTTGAGTCAAAAAGAAACTTCATTGGAACTGACTTTACCGTCCGCCATAGAAAAGTGCAGTCTCTGATTTATGCAAAGAATTTCGGTAAGGATTGGTTCAATTTTGTAAAACTGCAGAATATCGTCGGAATATTTTGAGAAAACTATTTAGAAATGTCTATATATTATGGTTTTAAAACAATTTCATCTTGATTTTGGTACTTGCTATCTAATATTAACTAACTATTTTAGTGTAATTTTGATTATCACTAATGAAGAATTTCTTTAAAAAAAAAATCTTTTGACCTTAGTGAGCAAAAGACGGAAAAGATATTGACGAAGTACTGGTATTGACTTTTAACTTGGACTATCGGGTACATATATATATCGCCTAACAAGCTTATAAGGGAGCAGTAAAGAAAATCTAGTTCAGCGCAGTATTCTATTGTTCATGGTAATTTAGTCCTCAAAAGAGCTCCACTGGAAAATGACCTAGCACTAAGAAAAATCATAGCTTCAACACTGTACATAAGCATTTTCAAAAATCAAAACTCCCTTTTTTTCGAATAAATTCAATACCTAATCCATAATTTGAATCATGCATTTTAGAAATCAAGCTTACAACTTTGATTCGAAAGTTTCTGACAATAAAAAATCGTTAATATCACAATAATTGTCAATGCGACCAATAAATAACTATTATGCTGGTCCATATCGGCGTTTGTAAGTTTGTCAACACTTCGTTCACTAATACCATGGCTAACATACTAATTGGCTACTGACCACAAAGAAAGAGTTCTAAATACGGAGTCACTTCTCAACTAAGACTGTGATCACTAAATCGGTCATAGTTAACTTTATTGTTCTGTAACTTCAACTGAATGTCCGAGCCTTTATAAATGTGTGACGAACACTATTTTAGTCATCTTTCAACCTATTCTAAAACTTTTCAGACAGGATCGAATGCTGTGTTTTCTATCTGACATTTTGAATATGAATAGACCTCATCGCTACTAGAATTCCGTACAAGTTTTAGTCAGAACGAATGTTTCTTTGAAATATCATTTTTTCAAACATGACAAGTGCTTCCAGTTTTCAACAAAATTTTGTATTTTTTGAAGAACTTAATCTTTCAACGTGGAAACGTATGTTTGAACTGTATTTTGTGCGACATTCTGCTAACCATGATATCTATCTATTTGCAAGTTTTCAGATTGAAAACACTTGACTCGCTTTTTTCAAAATGCCTTAGAATAGTTCGAGAAGCGAATAGAATAGTGTGTAAAGCTCATCCTTAAACGTCCATACATTGAATTCAAATTAGAAACTTACATTGCTCGCCAGTAACGATCAAATGATGACAATGGGAGTCGAAAAATTATTTTCCACTCGAAGATCTTACCTAATCAGCTCAACTTTAATGCTGCTTTCGCTTTCTATTCTCGAGAAATGAATGATTCATATTTTCTGTGCTTTTATTTTAGAAACTGGCTTACTGCATGCGCCCCATGGACGATTAGTCTATTGATTTGCATAGTTTTGTCAGGAGTTGCGGTTGCAGTCATACTTTCATTGATACCTGTTTATCTTAAAACGGCTGGTAACAATACCGCATACAATTACAATAAAGGTTTGTCAATTATTTCCTTCAGCTAAACAGTAGATCGTTCTCTTGAGGGTGTGGGTGTGGTTGTCGGCATGGGATGTGAGTGCTGATCATTTATTCGTCCACACCCACACCCTCATTATTCGAGTTCTCCAGTTTTATATCAAGTTTTTACATCGACCAAGCCAAATCCATCCAATATGATCAGTTTATATCTTCGATTCCTCTATCAGAAATGATGATACCCGCCGTCCAGAATCTCTTGTGTCTACTGACAACTATCTAGAGAGCTTTTAAAGAGTGAGAAGGTCATGTCTTATCAGGTCTCGCAGTCAATTATTTTCTCTTTATTTTACGCATCACTTTCAACTAAAATTTGACGAATAGAATCCTCGTTGATAACCATACTGATGTTTTTGGCAATTCTAATGACTATTCATGTAGCTTAGAGCAACAATTATTCATAAGCAAGTTCTTCTCTCTTATATATATTCAACATCATGTTGTGTCGACTATTTCAGTAAGAAACGTATTACAATGCACATGACTAAATTCAGACCGTTTGAAATCTACACAGTATACAGAAATCGAAGCTCTGGTTATTTCTAGACTAAAATGTCATCAACTTTAAATTAATTCAAATAAGATTCAGTCATTTGTCGGAAATTTTCTATGAATACAAGAGAAAATTTAGTCGGTGTTTAGCATATGTACTATTCGTCAATTGTCTTGGGATTGAATGAAAAGTTCAATTATATTTTCTTACAGTGCATAAAATGTAATATTATTTCATATAAGATCGATAACGTTTTTCAAATTCTGATTCTTGTGGATAAAATCACAGAATAATAAAAATGACAAAGCATAATTTCTGTAGATGGAAAAACCTACCAAATTAACAATAGAAAACTGACATGGTGGTGAGGCTTCTCTTCGCTTTGCCTTTTTCACACTCACACTCTAAAATGTGTAATTTTGTTCCTTTTAGAAAGAGCGCTAAGTATGTCTTAGATAAATAATTGATTAGAATCCTAGTATGTAATTTAGAAGGTCTATTATATCGATTTCTTGAAATGCCATGTTAGATTATTCATTATTGTACAGACAGTATTTAGTGCTTGATACTTCATCAAGTTCAATATTCGTAGGGAAGGTTAGTTTTAATAAATGTCTTTCAATAAAATAGAACAAGGTCAAAACCTGAGATTAATTGAATATGTCTTTTAGAAAGACAGTGAAATACAAGCCTGAAAATTTAACCAAAATGATTAACGATCATGATCTTCTTATGCGAGAAGCTTTATTTGGTCAATTTTTATTGATCGAGAGACATGAAGCTCTGAAATTTGCCCAAATAACTCATTTAAAGTTCTTTTGAGATATTTATCATATAGCTGTGATAAAGCCTTCCAAAGTTATTTTCTGTCATTAACGAAGTATATAATTTGAATATAAGTCAAAATGAAAAAGATCTATAGTGATTGAAATATAGTTTTCTGAGAAAGTGCCTAGAACTAGCTGATTTTTACTTGAGAAGAGTTCACGTCGGTACACGCAAAACTCTTGTCCCAAAATTACTTGAGAGAATCCGTCAAATATGATGCTACCGATTGAGCAACTTTGAGCGTAGACTATGTGGTAGGGCTCATATATGTGCAAGAGCTAAAGAGCATAACGAACCAACCAATATCTGATTTCAACACTGAAAGCATCCGCAAATACTAAGTCGTTTCTAGGTCAAAGATGGATGAAAGTTCCCATGCCGATAGCTTTGAAACTACTGAGTAGTCACCTGGTAATGTTCGGCAATCGGAAGGACAAAATATTGATCTTCAACAAAGAAATTTAGAGGAATGCCGCTCGCATATGTCAAAGCTCTTGATCTATTTTGTCAAAATGAAATATTCCTTTTCACAATATAAGACAAAAAAAACTATTCTTATCGTAGTCAAAATCAAAATGAAGAACTGAACAACATAGGTCAGTGTGTATCTAATTTTTCTTCGCGCTTTCTATTTAATGGTAAATATTGTAGATCACCAGCAACATAAGAAACTGAGCAGGGAAACAACATTAGAGTTCAGTTCGATTATAAGTGTAGTTACTCTTTGCAAATTCATAGAATGAAAACTTTCAAGCTTATTAAATTCTGGAAGAAAGCATCGTCTTGTCGCAATAACCTTTGACATATGCTATCTAGGATAAAAGTGATACAGAAAGAGTGTCTTAAGTATTCTCATTCTGCTGAATGCTATTTGACATTTATAAATCAATTTCTTCTGTGCGTCAATTATCTTCAAATAACTTCTTCATATAATAACTTAGTTTTTTGCAAAAATGCCATGAGAAACGCTTGCCTATTTTGATTATTTATGTCATTTTGTAGGAACTGCTGGCATAACACAAACCTTCGTTTCAAATACGATAGTAATCAATAATCAGAGTACGACAATCATCAATGTTAATAATGTAGCTCGACAAGTAATCCTACTTCCATTACTTATCACATATGTCTTAACTAATTAAATTGAACGAAATTCTAGTTAGAAATTGCCTATGGTTTGCCGGCTGGCTCGTTGATAGTTACTGATATTGTGATCGTGGGTGTCAGAACAAATGCCGGTAGTGGTCGTCGTCGTCGTCGCCGTGAACTTTACAGAAAAAAACGTGACCTGTGCGTATACATTTTGCGTGACTTTTTTTTATAATGGATTCTTTTTCAACACTTGTGTCAGTATTTTTCAGACCTAGTTGTAATCAGTTCGGATCTGCTCGCTTATTGGCAAAAATCACAATCAGTATAATCTACCCGAAGAAATGCGGCATATCACCGTCTTGCAAAACAAAATTTTTCGATAGTAGTCTAGCTCGTATTAATGCATATACTTCAGGTATTCCACTAATAATCACGTTTGCTGACGGCCGCTCCGCTTCATTCGTGTTATACCCTTGCATCATAACCAGTGATTTATCATTGTTTGTTATTGCAAGTACTACAACGATAACTACAACAAAAGGTAAAAATTTTTCGTTTCATAAATTTTGGCTTGCATTGCTACGTATATTTTCGCTTTTCAGTTTTGACAATTTAGGTTAGGAGAAAAAGTTTAAAAAATTGAGTGCTTTATAATTTTGTTCTGTGATAATGCTTATAAGTAAGAATTGATCAACGTGTGAAACCTAATATTTAAAGAATATTCAATGTCTCACCGTTAGTGAGTTTTATAAGTCAAGAAGTCGAAATATGCACGTATTTCAGCGCACTAGAAGTGTCTTAATAGTAAATCATGTAACATTCAACTGTTATTTATGAGATATTACAAGCTGTTTTCATACACGTCTCTTTTTGCATTGAAGTCAAATAGAAATAAAAGTGCTCAGTGAGTAAAACTCGTTATTCATAAATTTAGCAACTTTTTCGGTGAGAATTTTTCGCTGATCAATTCTTTCTATGATAAATTTCGAGTTATCAGCTCAGCATTACTTTACTAAGGTTAAATTATATTATAAAATATTATACATAAAGTGTTTAATATTCCTTTTTTATGTATCACACAGAAGATTTTGAGTGAAATTGACCCCGAAAATTCCATCAATACAGGGCCACGAATGTCACTATTCTATTAAACAGAGTTGGAACCACTAGATGTTTTTCTTACCGTTGTCAGTACCATTATAAACGATCCGACCGGATCGGATCGGTCGGTATACCAGCATGAGTAACTTTCCTACTTTTGATCCTATAACTATCCAGGCAATCATTAATGGACCATATTGGCGTAATAATCACTATAGTAATGAGACAACAATTGTTTGCCTTTCACATTGACTTTGACTAAGATTGTTAGGATCTAAAAATCACTTAATTACCATGAGAAGCACCTTTCAAGTAGTCGGTCATGAGTTTCCTCGTATCTCTATGCAGTACGAAGCACCAAATTTATGTGTTCGATCAGCTCATGCAAACTATATCAGAGAGATCCATCTTCCGAACTGATATAAATACTTTTGGATTCTTTGTATAAGTTTTCATCAGTCTTCAATAGGTTTCGCGAATAGTAATTTTAATGTTTCGAACTTTTATTTTTCTTGAGATGATGAAAATCGATAAATTGATGAATAGTCATACCAGAGATCAGTTTGATAGAAAGTGATTGTTTCCAAAAATTCGACGTTGCTTCGCCCAGCTGCCATCATGTTTAATCATCTCGAGATTTGCATCAATTTACACATATTATGTTGCTATGATGTCGAGAGTGACAAGAGGCACACCTTATCCCTATTCCAACGCGAGTAAAAGCTTTCATGCAACGATATAGAAACTGTAGTCTAAGAAAGAACTTGTATTGCTTGAAAGATCTTTTCAGCTCAACAAATGCCAATCGAAAATTCAGCGCGTACACACACTACATTTAGCACCCTGAACAATGCTAATATATCATCTAGTTCTGCTGCTATATTTCCGCATTGAAATTCTGTACATTCTTTTAGCTCCCGTCTGTTCGCTTCAATGGAATCCAATAGGTACGACTATGGCAGGTGATGCTAAAGGTGTCGCTGGTATTACAGGTAACCGGCTCAATGAACCTCGTGATATATTTATCGATGCATTCAAAACTCTCTATATCGCTGATTATGCCAATAACAGAGTTCAAAAATGGTTGTTGGGTGCTGCTGCTGCCACAACAGTCGCTGGTCAACAAAATGGCGTAGCAGGTGCTAATCCAGAGCAGTTGAATCAACCTGGAGGTCTCGTTGTTGATTCAAGTGGTAATATCTATGTGGTAGATAGCAGGAATAATCGAGTTCAATCTTGGCTAGTCGGAGCAGCTGCGGGCACGACTATTGCCGGCAAAGGTAGGACAGCTTGAGGTTGAAATGATAACTATCACGACTTCAGCCTAAAAAGTCTCAGTATTCTTCGCGGTTAGTTGTACGTAACTCCGAAATTGTCGATTTATCACAAAAAAACGAGAAAAAAACACAGAAACTTCGTAGTAATTTCGATTAATAGCGATTTCTATGCAGTATTTCAGACGTGGATAGTGTGTATCTGAGCTAGTTTTTTGAAGCTTTGAATCCTTTCGACATTTATTAAAACAAGCAGTAATAATCTATATCGTTTTGATCCAATGATGATCTTCTACTTTTTGATTGAAAACATTTGTCTCGTTTTGTTATTCTGCTAAAGAGTACATTGTGTGATTTTCTTCAAAACTCTTTTGAAATCGAATTAGTCAAAATAGATACTCGAAAAAAATTCAGTTAAATTGAAAAGAAGAACTAATATCAGATGTTAACTCACAAGAAAACATTCCCAGGCGCCGGAGCGCTTTTCAGTCGGGGTTTCGCGCATGTTTTAGCTCATCGTGAGCTGTATTTATGGTAAAAAAAATCGGGTTTCTGGTTTGTTTCTGAGGAGATCGAACGTTTTTAGTGAATTTTCACTATAGGGCATGACATTTGCAGCAAGACCAGGTTGTCGAATTTTGACTTGAAACTTTGACCACATAAAGATGGCATCTAGACTAGTTTGTATAAAAAGTTTCAGAACTTTTGGGCTACGTCTCTCTGATATATAGAGCTTTCAAAAATTACATGCTGTATATATTACCTATCAAAAACGGCATATACCTTGAAGGCTCCATATCTCAAAGAGACGTAGTCCAAAAGTTCTGAAATTTTTTATGCAAACTAGTCTAGATGCCATCTTTATGTGGTCAAAGTTTCAAGTCAAAATTCGACAACCTGGTCTTGCTGCAAATGTCATGCCCTATAGTGAAAACTCACTAAAACCGTTCGATCTCTTCAGAAACAAGCCAGAAACCCGAACTCTTTTTACCATAAACACAGCTCACGATGGGCTACAAGATGCGCGAAACTCCGGCTGAAAAGCGTTCCGGCACCTGGAAATGTTCCCTTGTTAGTGAAAGAATAATAAAACCATTAAGAGATGCAAGCCTCGTACCTGTAATTTTATGTAACGATCAAAGTAGAAAAACTATTTTCTTAATTTCAAGTCCATGCATTGTTCATTAACAGGCGGCAATGTTACGAGAAGAAGCCTTAAAATACTCGTGTCCATGAGCAGTTGGGACTGAGTTGTCAGCGATGTACTAATTTTTGGATACCTTGAACGACATTTATAGAAACATAGAATAAACTATTTTCGATCCCAATTGTAATTTCCATATATAGGCCAAATGACTGTTAGAGTATATTCTAAGAGTTGCATTCATGAATAAGTTTTCTTCTGTAGGTGGACGAAATCATTCGTTAGCGACGTGACTTCGCAAAATTTGAACACTCGTATTTCGGGCTAATGAACTTTTCTAAAACTAATTTTTATATGTTACATGTATGCTAAGTTACTCTAGATATTCTGAGAAAATCAATGCTAGAGATCTTTGTTTAGAGTAGTTGTCAGAAAGAAACTAGTGTTAGCGACATGACATAAAACATGAGATTGGTTTTCACTTTATGCATTTTGGTTTTGAAAAGGTCTGAATTGAGGTAGCATTTTCGAAAACTAAATAGTGCATTCTATAGACAGTTCCTAAGGCTGCAAAATCTCTATGGAAGATTTTTTCTGTAAATGTCTATGTTTTTCCAAAAAAAATAGATTTACTTTTCGTTAGCGACGTGACGCAGTACGAATATACAAAACGAAAAAATGCTCTTATAAACGAATGAGAAGTTTGAAACCTATTACGAACCACAAAAATCCTTCCTCGGAATCTCTAGATAATGGAAAGACAAAAATTTTCTTTTCAGAACCTGCTGGACCTTTAGAAAACCTGGTTTTTCAGAGAATGTTTTTCTCAATTCGATCTTGTGAAAGTTTTACGGGAGATGCAGACAGTGTCTTAGAGCCTACCTTGAAGTTTTCGGAATATTTTCTCTCATGGCCGGAGAGATATTCGCTAATTACTTTATAATTAATTAATTAAAATTAATAGTCAGCTAAAACAGCCAAGATTTTTAAATATGTCTATGCCAAGAGAATTTATTCAGAAAAATAACCCTCATAAAGAATGAAACTCAGATGAAACGGGGTATGGTCACATTTTCTCTGGAATAGCTCAGGTGCTAAACTTTTACAGTATCACTCGAAAGTATCTGCTACACTGAAATTTCAGCTTCTTAAGGTCCTCTTAGCCGAATCTTTCCGAGAATGCTTATGTCAGTGCACTCTGATTGATGGCACAAACTGTAGTCTGAATATTTTGGTATTTCATGAGATGTGAAGCTCCATGTCGTTCACACTGCAGCTCTGGTCTTTCGTAGGAGATACCACAATTTTTGGCTGTTTTACCCATCAATATGTGCCTAGTCAATAGTATTTTAAGAACACAAAATTCCAATCGGTTTTATCGAGTTCTAATACATTGACAATCATTTTACTAGTGGTCTCACTTTTCCAGAAATTGTAAATCACCAGTCTGGACAGCATAGCTTCACAAGAATTCAATGTTCTGCGATAAACGTTTTATCAGATATTTCGCCAGCTCTATTCTACTTTGAGGATGGGAATCTTCTCTTCACTCTGAGCTTCACACATCTTCAACCATAATAGTTATCGCTCAAAAACTTGAACTGTGCGAACAGAACTATTTAAATATCATGTTCTGCAAAAGCATTCAGTCATTACATAACACGCGCTGATTAACTAACATATATGCACATAGTAAGTTCTATTGCCACTCAGTTTTTTTGTACATTTTTACTGTGTATTTTAGAAAATGTGTCATCTCTTAAGCTATTTCCATAGCTATTCAAATCACTAGTACAGAGTGTAACTATATTCGGCGCGAAAACATACGATAGAAATCATTTTTAAACCTGCAACAATAATACGCGAGTCTCAATGTTCTTTAATTGACGACTCGATTTTTCGGCTCAAACATTTTAATGACATTTAAAACAGATGCTGTTTTCGATAGAGAATCATTTAAAACTTCACTATGTTCAACAGCAAAATATAGATGAGGAATAATTTTTTCTCGAATCCTTCAGATTAAAACTTAAATTTTACTAGTCATATGTTTCAAAAATGTTTTTTCGACAGTTACCGCCGTCGGCGATATTATTTGCGCATTCTTGTATATAGAACGTATGTTCATAATTCGGAAACAGATATTCACTTTGATTTTGAAACTAAAGATTGCTACGTGTACAAAAGAGCTCATTGTTATATGATGGTTTTAGAACATACGGCTCTCATACACAACAAAATATATTCCAATGCTAGGGCAAGGATATCCAATTGTCTGCAATGCTTGTTAGATCGAAAGGTCATTTTTATAACAAGCAAAGCTAGCTTGGTGGTGATGAATTACTATAATTTTAGTTTGTTACACAAGCAAAACATCGGGAAGCAGTAATTGTCCAATAAGCCTCTATCATCATCCATAGTAGTCCAGTCTGCGATCGAGCTCTGTTCAGATTGTTCCCAGTACTCAAAAAACTACTGGATACACCTTTACTTTCTTGTGAAATAAAATCATGTTTTGTGAAAGAAATCATTCGAAAAGCTTCATCAAATATTGATGTGTTTCATTGAAATATATTCGCGTTTTCAGGAGGACTTGGACGCGGCCCTAGTCAATTCTTTCTTCCGTCTAGTATCGCACGTGATACTAAATCGGGCAAACTTTACATCAGTGATTTCTTCAATCATCGTGTGATGGAATACGCACCAGGCGCAACGGATGGTATCGTAGTTGCTGGCGGTAAAGGACCCGGAGTTGGTATTACTCAGTTGCAATCGCCGACTGGTATCTATTTCGATTCAAAATCAAATAGTCTTGTAATCGCCAATACTGGAGCTAACAATATTGTTCGTTGGGTTATAGGAGCCGCTTCATGGACACTTCTTGCTGGTGATGTTACTGGAATAGGCGGTTCTTCATCAACATTACTAGACAACCCTCTCGGTGTGACGTTCGATTCCATGGGAAATATGTATGTGGCCGATGGGAACAATAATCGCATACAGTTCTTTAATGCTGGCGAAACGGTTGGTAGAACTATTGCAGGAGGAAATAAAGTAGCAAACGCTGATCCTTCTTCACTAGTTCTGCCCTCTGCCGTTGAACTCGACAGTGAAGGTAACTTTTACGTATCCGACAGAAGAAATAACCGCATACAACAGTTCACGTGCATCCAAAGTTAAGCATAGTCGATCTTGATAAAACCTTGAACATGTTTCCTATTTTTTTTACTTATTCGTGCATACTTAGAAGTAGCTTGTTTTTCGTTTTCATATCTGTCGGCATAAGAATCATGGCAGATTTGTATCCAAGTTTTTTTGCACATTATCTCTACTCAATTTTTTTTCCATTTGTAATAAAACATATATATTTTGAGGTTTGGGTAAATTAATCGAAAACACATCGACTTAGCTCTTGAAGAAAAGACAAGTTCAATCTACTAATCTCAACTTTCACTTTCCAACAAGCAATTAAATCAAAAATTAAATGACAAGAGTATGATAAATTAATTTGCTTTGATTAGAAATACTAAAGAAATGCCAAGTTTAACTCGCAAAGGCGTTTCATGTTATTTTATTGAAATATAAACACTCATTCGGACCAGGCTACAATTGCAAGCATGATAATACAAAAAAATATAAGAATACTTTTAAGCATTCATTAATTAATATATATCAAAAATTTCAATGATTTTGATTTGTTTGAATAGCTTTTTATGCCAGTGGTTTTGGAATGAGAATTAATTTTAATTGATAAAACAACTACAATATTTCAATTGAATCCTGTCTTAAGCAGTCATTTTGCATTGAGTCAAGAATAAATATTACTTTTCTTATTGAAATAAATCATAGGGTGTGGATGTGGTCCTGCAAGTACGGGTGTGGGGGTGGGGGCGAGCGAACAGAGAGTGCACAACTGCACCCGCATGTACACCCATAGCGACAGCCACACCAACACCCACTCACACCTAGACTAACTCATACCCATACTCACACCACAGAATCACACACACATCACACAGCCACATACACATCGAGAGAGATGTGGTGTGACTCTCTTCGCGGCACCCACATTGAGCGAAACGTGATGTGACTCCCTCCGTGGCACCCACACTGAGAGAAAGGTGGTGTGACTCTCTCTGCGACACCCACACTGAGAGAAACATGGTATGACTCTGTGCCTGGTACCTGCACGGAGAGAAACGTGGTGTGATTCGCTTCGCGGCACCCAAACTGGGTGAAACGGGGTGTAACTACTTTCGTGACACTCACATCGAGAGGGACATGGTGTGACTTCTTTGGCGGCATCCACACATAGAGATACGTGGGGTGACCTGCTTGGCGGCACACACATCACGAAAGATGACTTGTAAATGGTCTAGTTTACTGCGTGACCTTCCATTATTGCAAAGTGCTTTGTTTGGAGAGTAATTTTTGTTTTCTGTACAATTATTTGAGTGTTGAAAATTCATTTGGTTTGCGGAAAGTCATTGACTTTGCTGGAAAGTCGTTTAAGACATTGTTTATATCATATGCCATTATGTCGATGGTTGAATTCTAGGGAAATTGTGTGCAGGATTCGGAAAACAGATTCGGTTTGCTGAATGCAACATCGGTTTCCGAGAATTGATTTAGTGACCGAAAAATGATTGTGTTTCCTGGAAACTTATATAACGCATAAGACGAGAGGATCTTAAACAACGCATTTTATAGCGGTAACGACCCGATACAAAGCTTAACGAAACTATCCAACAGATTCTCTCTTTCATAAAATTATGACTCAAATTATATTGCTCAGCATATTTCACGTCAAACTAGATATCACACGTATTTGGCACGACCACATGAATGAATTATAACAAATACGAATGTGCTATGCTGAAATATTTTCATCCTTTTGATGTTGTCATTTAATTTTATTATGTATACAATCTAGGTTTTTGTAAGATGAATATATGTTTAATATTACTTTGCCGCGTTAGAATTAAAATTTTAGATTTTCGAACGTCTTATAATCACTATTAGAACAATGTAAATTGTCAACAAATTTAAATGAAAATATCTCTTTGATATCTATTGTTTGATATAATATATAGCTTTTATTTCAGCAAAACAAATCAATTTCTAAGCATATTTTCTTTACAGTGTTCGATCAATTAGATAAAACTTTATTATTTCATATATTATATAATTTTTTCATTGTAATATTTATACACGGACAAAAGTTTTATACATTAATTTTTTTGTAAAATCTAAGATTCATATCTCGAATATACAATATTTGAATGCCGGTGGCATCCAAATATTAGTTTTTACATATTTTTATAGAAGTTATATCATTATGAAAGATGATTTTTACAATGGTATGACCTCCTGAACACTAGTCGCAGTGAACGTTAAATAATTTCTATTATACTGTGTTCTTGTGATTTTCTTCATGGATGGAACTGACTTTCAAGTTTTGCTTTAAGCATATTGGAGACTTCTCTGTCATAATCTTACCTTTGTATCAACCACTAATTCTTAATTCAGTTGTATTGAATACAATCATTGTTGTAACTGCAAAACAATCTCTTACTTTTAGTTTATTATAGAGAAAATATGTAAAATACAAACTTATCGTAGCATTTGGCATTGATACTGTTGTTGTGTTAAATGCTTGTTTATCATTACCGCACTTCAAAATAATAGACATTACAATACTCAGTGACAGTAGTAACTATTAATAAATTCAGCATTAATATTTTTATTTTTACTTTTCTAGAAAGAGCAAGAAAACTTTGACGTAATCCGATCAACGATTCAGAACTTGTCAGTTTTTTCATCTTTCCATTTTGATGAAAAGATGAACTTAGCAATGAAAGATATACGTATTTATAGATAATGCAAAGTTTTGCACCTAACGTATCTCAAGAAAAAATAAGTAAATATTTGCTGACACATTTTTAAAAATGACTATATTGTATCTGTCAGAGCTATTAGCAAGGTAAATTTATTTAAATCTGTTATATATTATTAATACTGTTGCTATATATTAAAATGTTGATATTCTTAAATAAACGGACATATCGATATTCTAAGATTTGAGAGACTGTCTGTGAATATATTTTATTTCAAAGTGATGATTTTAGTTCTAAAAATATGTTGATTATACTTTTTTTTGTTGTTTTTACAACATCAAAGATAATGATACACATTTTATTACCTTGTAAAAAATCTCTGTTAATACTTAATTTGTTCTTCTAATACATTGTATGTAGTAACTGTTTGTTGACGAGATTAGATTGAAAATACTTTTATAAGAAACAAATGAAACAAATTTAATGATAAAAGAATGTAATATTGAACGCTTTTCACTTTAGTTTGAATATTTTTTGAACAGCTATGGTATCAATCACTGCTGTTTAATGTTTTATATATTGTCTCTCTCTCTCTTAAGTTTTCTTGATCATTTAAGATTTGCTTCTGTTTCTTCTTCGTTACAACTCGTACTCCTATTTTGCGAATTTAATGTCTGCTTTTTCTAGGGTTTCTTATAGATAACAAATGAACATGGTAAATAACTCTAACTTTGATGTATGAATAATTAATTGATACAAATGGGGGTTTTGTATGAAATAATGTCATAAACGTTTTCTTTTTCATTTGGTTAGGAATGCTTTATAAAAAATGTGTATATTTATCAAATATATTATTTTCCAATTTAACAGTATATTTTGAAAACTATTTCCTTTATTGCTTTAAGACAAATCAAACGTTTTAATATATTATTTATTTCAGGCATAACTTATTTTAGTTCTCATAAGTCTTCATTTCCTTTCACATAATAAATTGCTATGTTTTTGGTAAAATAACATCTGTTCAATGAATCAAAATAGTCAACATTTGTATTTTATATATTCTGCTATCTATGATGTAAATGGGTTAATCAGTTTCAATGTATGAAACAAAAGTTTTTTGACAGATTGAATATATATATTTAATTAATTTTATCATATTTTAAAAAAATTGAAACCGAACTTTTATTCTGAAATTATCAATGAATTAGTTTTAATTGATTTCTTCATAAATGAAGAAATGAGAATGAATGTCGAGTGATGGTTCATAGTCAATTTACGAATATTACTTCGTTATTTTATAGATTAATACTTTGACATTGAAGATTAAAATGTCTGTAATGTCTAATTGAATACTCAACACGAACCAAGATCGAGACAAATAAAGACTATTTCAATTCATAATAAAAAATAGAATTCGTTCTCACAGTTAAAGATGTTAATCTTCTCGTCATAAACTTCAATATTTTATTGGCAAACCTGTTTAACAATGAATGAATGAATAACTAACAAAATATATAATTATAACGAAACAAAAAAAAGTATTTGAATAACTATCATAAATAAAGATTTGTGAAATCGAAGCATAAGAAGTAATCAAGACTGAATTTGTCTTCTATGTTAACTTTTTGTTTCACGTAATATTCATTTTATTATAGCTAGTAAGTATTATTTCATTTTATCATCACTTCGCGTCCATATTGAACATATCTTCTCCTCTAAAAATCGTTAATTGACGGCCTTTCGATGTCTACTATAGATGTCGCTTTAAAATATATTTATTACATGATTAGTTTATTAATCATACCAATAAAAAAAATTTGTTGACATGCATGCATAAACACAAGAAGACGAGTACAGAAAAATAGCTGGTTGGTCGTTCTTTTATGTCATAGAAGCCTATTATGAAAGTATGCAATTTTTTTGAAATATTCGAGATAAGATCTAATAGCAAGCAAAAAATATTTCAGATTGAAATAAGCTAATTTTTTCATGTAGACTACTCATAATGTCAAATAATCAATATGCATTAGTTCAACATTGTATTGATACTAAAGAATTTGTAACAATAAAACTTTATAATCGTTATTTATTATTTCATCAAAATCTAATTAAACCATCAAATAATCATCAATTAGATTTAAGTAAAATTATTAAATACGTAAAAAAAAAAGAAAAGAAAATATTATATTTTTGTTTCTTCTTAGAATTATCATCAACTATTATTCGAAAAATCTTTGGTTTAAATTCAATATCAATTAAAGATGCACAAATAACAACTCATGTTGATTCATCATTTTATGATATAATTATATTTGCTGATACATCACTTGTTTATACACGTAAACGAACATTATCATATGATAATGATCAAGATGAAGATACTAAAAAATTTAAAATTCTTCCTTATTATGTACATGATGATTTAGAATTACTTAAAAATATTGGAATGTCAAATGAAGATATTGATTTATTTGTTAAAAAACTTAATGCTAATGATAATATAGATTTATTTAATTCGAATAAATATGATCAAATTATTCAACAAATAATTAAATATACTGATATACCTACAAGATTAAAGTAAAAAAAGATTAATATTAACAAACAAAAATATTTCTTATTTTTTTTTTGTTTTTAAAAATTCTAGATGTCGACAAGTTTCACATAAATGGAAAAATTTTGTTGATAGTTCAACTGCGGTAAGATTGTTTATTTAAATAATAATAGCAATTGCGAAATTATTTATTCGGCTTCTTTATTTTGTTTTTTGAAAGTGGAATCATGTTAAATTATCAAAACTTTGGCGATATGTTGATCGAGCTTTGAATTATTTTCAAAATATTGATATACGAGAATTGGTATGTTATGTATTAATTAATTAGAAAAAAATTTTACTAAAGGAAAAACATCCACAGTAATCCGATACCCATCGAACTCAAAGTTTCTACATACGTGTGACTAATAGAAGTTCAAATGGATTCGCATAATTACTCTTTATCCTTCCGGAGTTACGATTCTTTGACTGAAAAATTCGACCTTAGGCAAGCTATTCAAGGAGTGTTAAAATTCAATTCTTCTACACACACTGAAAAAAAAAATCCTCGGAATTTAAACTAGAATAAATGTTATTATCTATTCTTTTCAGTTCGATTATTTCAAAAATATCTCAGGGTGTAGATGTGGTGTTAATAGTTACTGTCATCATAACCGAAAAAATACAAGTATCAGTGAAATAAATATTTCTTTTTTTTTATGACTCACATCTACTTTTCTGGTGATGACTTTTAAGTATGCATGCAAGTAAATTATTGGTTTCTGTTATTTGTCATAGATTATGTTTGTCAAAAATCGGAGATTTAATAAAAGTTGGTGATAATTTGAGATTTGCTATGGCCTCAAGTTGCCTGATCAAAGATCGAATAGATCAGATTTGATTGAAAATTTCATCCATAAGTATATCTTACCATTATTAGATTTTTTTAAAAAAAGTTTATGTTAAAAGACGAAATTCCTTCTTGAGATGTTCAATGATGAACAAAGGACATATCCGGGGATGACTATTTTTTTACTCTAATCTATCTGAGAGATGTCTGCAAACCACAAAAAGTATTTTTCATCACTTACAATGGAGGTGTTTGTATCGTAAGTTGAAAAGACCAGATATTTTTGCATCAAAAGAAAGCTCTCACCGCCAAACTAACAAGGTTAAAATATTAGCTGCTGTTAG